CACAACTGACATCCAAATATCATCTTCTTCCATGCTGAGGTCATCACTCTTGAGAAGATTGATCAAGGTCTCCTTTGGCAAGGTTGCAAAATCATTTGATTTAAATACAATAACCGGGTGTAAAACCATAATTCGATTGCAATAGTCCAAAAGCCCGTTCAAAGGAGCCATAGAGAGAGCATACTTATGGACTGTGATAACATTCTGATGAATCCATTCCTTTTGTTTCTCAATCAAATAGGCTTCAGTTGCAATAAGAAGATCAAGTAGTTTGAACTTGCTAGCTCCATTCAGAAGATTAATCCAACCTGCATGTTTGCATGAATCATAGAAAATTTGCCCAGTATAGATAAACCTACGGAAGCAATTTTATATTTAAGTTGATATGATATTTTGATATTTTTTTAACATGCAAGGTTTACCTAAGCAGAATTTCGAACACATCAGGTGACACATCTTCCAATGTCATAGCGGCTTTTTGAATCTCTTTAGACGTCCCTGTATTTCCGGTTAAGCTATTCTCGAAGAATGGGTTTCGTGTACACAATACTAGTGTATGAGCGAGAAATATCTTGTTATTTGGCTCCTTTCCAACGTAAATTGAAATATCCGCATATTTGCTGCTTTCATAAAGCTTCTCATAGTCTGACAAAAGGCCTGAAGACAAATCAACTATGATATTCATTTCGTGCGTGCAAAGTTTAAATCTAAATCACTTCTTTCATTGATACTGTATATCGATTTTGTCGATCAAAGTCTGTGTGACATCATCATTCAATAAAGTAGTACAGAACGCCTTGATATTGTTTTGCGTTTATGGAGGGGGGTTCCTTAATATTAACAGAAAGAGATTTTAACTATTTGTGTACATTAAACAAATTTCCCCTTGTTATAATTTCCAGCTAAAGTCACGTACAAAATTTGGCCATCAATATCCCTAATTTTTAACTAGAATTGTGTTGTTATTATGCTATTTGTTTCATTAAATTTATCCGTTTTTCGCGAATGAAATTTCTCCAAACTATTAACAGCTTTAAATAACTGCTGGATTTGTTGAATTAGAAATATTTTTATGTTTCTAACCCCCCCCCTCAATGTCTCATTAGCACTCATTATTAGGGTTTTACTACTATCACGTCAGCCTCTTCATCGTGTTCTCTACTAAATAAAGAAAGAATATATCACTTCCAGAATGATATCTTCCTCTTGAAAAGACAAATACTCGTTTGTTGTCAATTGCATTAGTAAAGTCGACCTTACGATGGCATAATGTTGTGTGCGCAAATTTGGATCTTATAATAAAACAGATTTGTACTGCATTGATCATTACGTGAATCACGTAAGTTACATTAGGAAATACAGTAAATCTATTAGAACGAGACTTCGAAATGCAGAAAACGGGCCAAGCAAAATAATGTATTTAGGATGGATTGCACTTATGGGGGTTGCATTTATGAGAGGTTTTACTGTACATAGATTTCTTTCTGTGAGGTTATCCAACCCACGCAACATATTAATTGTATCTACTTTTAAGCGCATTGTTATACTAACTGGTTTCATCGCCAATACGCTCGATGACTATTGTTCGGGTAAAGTTTTGTATTTAGAAATCATTATCATATTAAACCATTTAGTTTTTTCGTTTTGTTCACGCGAATTAGACTTTATATGCATATCCACGCTAACATGAATGTATCACTAATAAAATATTATTGCCGGATAAGAATTTTATGTAGGGCTCATTGCTTGCTTGTCAATGTAATTGTGAGTAACTAATAACGTTGTTAATTTCATACTGTGTATATATCAGACAAGGTATTAGTATAAAATTGTTATCATGACTCCTTATGCGAGGGTAAGTTCAGCATTGATTCGAACGTGCCTTTCCCGAAGTTTTGTTGGCTTTTCTGTTTTTTAGATTCCTGGTCGCTTTCTATGATGGTGGATACGGAATGTGGCAATGGGAGTGGCGGGTTATCGGTTTCATTGGTTTTTTTTGGATAGGGAGCTGAGGGTCGGGAGATCGCGGGATATTGTCTTAGATATATAATTCGCCCATGATAGAGCCGATTTTTACTTTTTTCATGAAGATTTTTTTTATTGGCATCGTGACGTATTAAATTATTATATCGAATTCTGCGAGACGAAGTGTAGAACTGGTAATATCGCGTATTTGGGCAGGGAAATTTAATTACGCCAACGTCTATTACAATATCCTTACTGCAGTTAATGATAGTTATCACGCACCTCATTGAAGGAATGTGTCAACTTCGATTGTTTGTAAAATAGCACTTTCAAGAAATTACTGTTTCTGGTTTGCATTTGAAAACTCCCTTTCATTTGTTTTGTCTGATAACAGAATTTCTGGGAATTGACCCTCACAGGTTAGAAGCTTTTATAAGCACTGATATGAATTGATCAATCCCGTCATTGTGACTCGAGATAAAAAGCTGTAGATAAGTCCGTCCCATGATACGAAGGCATTTAATCTACCGAAGGCCAGTTTAACGCAATGATAATGCGTATACAAGTGACGTCATACTACTAAACGATAGTATACTAACTAAACGATTACTCAAAAATATAAGCGGCAAGTCAGCACAGAAGAAGAAACAAAAATATACTTCTTGTTATATAAAATTTTGAGTAATTGAAGTTTAGCCGTTTAGACTCGAGTTTCGGACATTCGTGCACAGAAGAAAAAATTGTACACTAGCACTCACTATTATCAATTATTATAATTAGGGAATCGTAATTCTGATGCAAGAATTCCACAAAGTGAAGACATCTGGGACTGAGAATATTTCAATCCCCAATTCGTAATGACTCAGGTATATAAAAAAGATAAAAAAATTACAGTATTTACTCAATGAGATTTTAATATTGTGTGACTCTCTCTCCCAATAGAATATCGCCAACAGTACATATATTTACGAATTCTACCAAATTGTCTCACTGCCGATCAGCTATGCTCCTTTCCAAAGATTCGTGTCGAAATACTCCACGGATTTTATCTACTGTTCTTTTGATTCTATTTACAATATGCTGTAGTTTATCTGCCATCCAAGCAGTTAAAATAAGAGGGGTTGATCAATCTAGTAAGTTGTATAATATAATCACGCATGAGATTATCACCGGGAATCCGTATAGTATAGTTAATTTCACTGTCAATTTACCTCTTTCACCCCAGAGGCGTATTTATATGAACGCAAGGGAGACCACTGGACTTGCCTCGATGGGTCAGCAGAAATTCTATACGAAGCGATAAACGACGACTATTGTGATTGTAATGATGGTTCTGATGAACCAGGTATGATTTGTGATTTAACTTAATATTTCCAATACATCAATGTGCGCATCTAATATCCAAACTCCATTATGCAGGAACTTCGGCGTGTCCAGATAACCTCTTTTATTGTGAAAATGAAGGTCATATTCCCACTTATATTTCATCATCACGAGTGAACGATGGAATATGCGGTAAGTCTTTTGATTTATTTCACGGATTGCATTGGCAGAATTTTATTCACATGAAATTCTTGTAGAACCCGAGTGCTGCGACGGATCAGATGAATACGGCGGACTTGTTCAGTGTTCAAATGTCTGCGATGCGGCCGGGAAGGCGTATAGACAAAAAATGAAGGAATTGGCCGATTTGCATGCAATGGTATGTAAACAATCATCAATGGGGATACATATACTTTACATTACTTATGAAATTTATAACTAACTTATTGTGCGATCAATAGGGCGCGCAGACAAAGCAAGAATACATAGAGCATGGAAAGAAGCTAAGAAGTGAGCGGGAAGCTAATTTAGAAAAACTGCAGATTGAATTATTAGCAGCGAAGCAAAGAGTTGATGAACGGAAAGGTGTGAAGAGTATACTGTCTGCGAGGATGAAATGTGACATTGCATGTGATTTTGTTTGTCAATGAGTAGTGATTCACAAAGACAACCTTTATAGAGGCTTTGAAACAAGCCGAAAATGAAGAGAAGAGATCAAAGACGTCCAAGACGAAAAGTATGTTATTACATCCTGATATTTATACCTTATTGCAATTATATTTACTTGCTTCCATTCATATATTTTCACTGTTGATTGTATGTCCTTCCTAACAAGCTCTCGTTGTTTACGTGCTTTGCCAAACTTTTATCGTTCTCTCCAAGTATTCCGCGAGAGAATCAAGGCGCATAAATCTCAGATACAAACACTACAGTCACGCATAACCGGACTTGAGAATGATATCAATGCATTATTGTCCATTTTGAAAGACCTAAAACACGATCATAATCCCAATTATCATGATATGGCCGTGAAAGCTGCCGTATCTGGATATGATGAGTTTGTAAACGAACGAGATGAATACCGTATATTTAAGGATGAAGTTTGTAATGAAGAAGAAGAGGAATGTGATGATCATTATGAGAATGCAGGTGAAGGTGAGGACGACGCGAGAGATCATGTTAAAGTTAACGGTAATGACGAAGCTAAGGTAGACGATATGGAGGAAGACGAAGATGAGGATGAAAAAGAAGAGAAGCCAGGTATAGAGTTGTTATATGTTTTGCGCATGCGTATTAGGAGTAAATTAATAGTGTGTTTATGATGATAGCTGAGACACATTCGGAAGGTGTTATTGGGATGCTGAAGAATGGTTTCAATAGTGTTCTGCATGCATTCGGTTTTGAAGAATATTCTTTGAGCAATGGAGAATCACAGTCTACATCATCACCCGGGCAATCCAAAGGTATGTCTACTGCATAATTCTTTGCGTTGTTTCATAGATTAGTGCTTTATAGCTAACATATTGCGTATTGATGACATAGCTGTAATTGAAGCTCGCAGCGCCCTTTCGACGGCCGAAACTGAAGTGAGAACTACAGAGACACAGATTTCAGAGATCATTAAGAAACTTGAAACAGACTATGGCAGACAACAGGAATTTGCTAAACTGGACGGAGAATGCGTTGATCTAAACACGGGAGAGTATGTATTGAACGAATAATTACGAAATTGTAAACTTTTATAACTGACTATTACTTTCTTTTTTATTTATTAATTTAGATACACATATACTCTCTGTCTATTTGGTACTATAAACCAGAAGAGTAACACAAATTATGACACAACTAATCTTGGGTTAGTATAGAATATCGAAGAGCTTTTATATACATCACACAACTACTAAAACTCTTTCACTTCACTTAATTAGCTCATTCTCTAAATGGATCGGGGCGGATTCATCTGCAGACCCATCGTATTATACCAAACAATTATATGATAACGGTGCTCGATGTTGGAACGGACCCGTGAGGTCGACAAAGGTAAGTCAGTGCCCCCATACGCTTCGGGGTTGCGATTATTATGAAATCCAATATAATTTTTACTTGTTCGATTACTACCATTCAATGCATTCTAACGTTCGGTTCGTGCAATCGTGTAGGTACATCTCGAATGTGGGATAGAAAATAAATTGCTTGAAGTCTCTGAGCCGGAGAAATGTGAATACGTTATAAAAATGAACACACCTGCCGTATGTACGGATGCGAACGATAGAATTATACATGAGGAATTGTGAAAATACAAACAAACAATGCACATAGAGAATGACAATAGGGGTTAAGAATTATTTAATGAGAAGCTGTGATTAGACGTACGAATAGAGAGAATGAATAAACAATTTAATTACACCCGCATTGTGAAAGTGGCGTATGTGTAATTTTATCCAAGAGATAAGAAGAAAGCAAAAAAGAAAGAGTACTTTCAATGCTATAATAATGTGTGTGCATCTGTTTGTCCACAAAGCGTTGGTCTGAGCATTCGGCGCGTTTACGTTGTTCTTTATCGCGATTTTATTATGGTCAAGAAACTGGTCATCGCAATCCTTTGGCGTTTTCCGAATAGATCGCATATACAGTAATTGAACTTGGAACATTTTCTTCAAGCTCATAACGTTACATCGAATTAGCGAAACCTCTTAATGAAATTTGTCAGTAGCCGTGGTGATAAGTCTCTGGATTTATGGTTACAGTATTGCAACAACGACACCAACACTTTCGTTGAATGCCATCACTCTCATACTGTCATAGTGTTAGCTACTAGTAAATGGATGTGTGGAGGTGATTCGCATTCTCTTATAGTAAGACACGCTAAAGGTCAGTCCTCAGTAGGTAATAATTAATATATTATGTGGTCCATGCCGAGGATGATTTATTCCATTATGCGAAGGCTGATTTCACTGTTGGCTATACTGCAAGATTATATACATCATTCTTCCAACAACAATTGAGATAATATTTATCATCTCTGTCACACTAGAGTGTTCTGAGACCAAGGTGGAGTGTCTCTTCCTGATAACGGATAAGTGCTATTATAATTTTGAGTCGCTGGATGTTAATATTGTAATTTTAATATCAGCATGCAACAAGTTCTTGTCTTCGTAGCTGTCTCTGGATTTAGACAAATTTCCTGTAGGTAAAAGCTTGTAGAATATTTGTTCTTTCTCTCTTAACGGGATACAGGTCTTGCATTATTATAATAGATACTATTCAAGATGTCATTATCAAAGTTATCCATTAATGTCTTGGAAATAATAATATTTGAAAAAGTCGGACCGCAATTGACGTTCTTTGGGTTTGGTTCTATCAATGTAAACAAGATTACTTCCGATGCACTAGAAATAGCAATATGTTCGAGTTTAGAGAAACAGACTCAGCTGCAGTTCAGTTTGCGAAATGCGCAGGAATTACGGAATATCTTATTATTTAGGGCAAAAATGTATTCTGGGTTGGATTACAACGACGCGTCAATGCGACATGGCCGATTTTGGGTTATCAAGAGTGTTGAAACGAGCAATGTCCAAATCTCGTGGAGAGGACACTCTCGCATACAAGGATCCGGTATCCTTCAAGAACACTTATATAACGTGTGCCTATGCTAAAAGTGGGAAGTGGAATTTCAAATTTCAAGTTTATTTGACTATTAACCTTCTGGTCAAACCCGTCCACCTCCCCATGGATCCGGTAATCCCGGCAAACCGTCAGTGAAGAAAAAGAAAGCAGAGTTAGTTAGAACGTAAAACAATGTGATACTTACCTTATACTTACTCAAAACCTTCTACCCGTCGTCTAAAAGCTGTGTAAAAAAAAAGATATCTTCAGAGTGTTCCGGGCATCCCCCATCAGACCCTCTTCACCGCAGGCGATCACTGGTTGAGTAGAGAGACGTCACCGGTGACTACCCGCCATCCGCACCCGTCCGCCACAAAGAGAGCAGCCACCTAGTAAACTAGTTCAAAAAGCAATAGTTTACCTATCATTAAATTATTCTATAATTGTTCACTGTTTTTCGCTGTTGCGGCCATTACATAAATAGGAAGTACTCTTTGAAAACAAGAAATAGAAAAATACACCATTACCCCACCGGATGGAGATGTTTTTGTATCTAAAGATTGAATTGTCGTGGATAAGTAAATAATATTATGTGTATATAACAACTCTTTGACATAATAATAGTAATATAAATGGTAATAATAAATTTAGCACTGGAATAGAAGTGGATATAAATTATTTTCTTTATATCTATCCAATCATACGTTTTAATGTACTTTCTATTCAAATAAAGCTATATTTATATTACTTGTGCCATTCTTCGTAATTGATTATAATTCTTGTAGTAAGTTTTACTCCCGCTCTTATTATCTCTTTTCTTCTACTTACCTTTATACTAATCGTTGAGCTTCTGAAGTAGAGTTAGAATTATCACTACAAACCGAGTTGTGAGGCATACATTATTAAATCGCTTGATTATTGAAGGAGAATTTGGACATAATGGCATTCTGTCTCTTTTCTCTGAGTCTTCCAGTAATAGAATTGATGTTAGCGAATTTATGTGTCGGAAAACTTTTCGAAATCAAGGAAGTGACTCGTATTAACTTCTAAGTAATATAATAGATATTAAGTAATAAATTGGGTTATTTCATTACGTAATTGTTTATTTCACTAAAGACGAAAAGATACCTGTTAGTCGGAAGACGTAGAATAACCGAATAATTAATAACTTACGTACAATAACAACTTTAACCGAACTTTTTTATAATGTAAAAGCAGATATTTGCGTTTTGTGCACGTTAGTATAAATGGATGGAATATTCGGTTTTGTGCAAACGCGTTTGTCGGTTTTGTGGTCGATAAACTGTGTTATTGTTGAGTGTAGTGTTAAGGGTTCGTTATTTGAGGACCTGCTCATGAGTTGTGCCAAACTGATGTTCGTGCGTAATATAGAGTGGTATGTTCGCCGTATATTTAAGCAACGTTGTATTTGCGCTTTAGAGGAGAAGAGGTTGTTGTGAAGCGATATATCGCAATGTCGGCCTGTTCGGTACTAATAATAAAGAGATGGATGAGTAACCATATCATTATAGTCAAGAACAATGAAGAACGTTCACAGCAGGCGCGTCCACCGATCAGGGTCCAGGGGTACCTGATGGGTAAACCTTGCAAACTGTGGCCACGATGCGCTTTCAATTCATAGCCCTGTATCCTATTCACCACAACCCGACTACAGTCGTTTTGGAACAGATTACCGAACGTTCACACAAGTAAATTATTTACGATCAGGCCCCCGACCGCAAAGTATTTTAACGTGTATCCTATTCACCACAAAGCTAGCACAGCTTTTTTCGGTAACGGGGGTTTGATTAATTTACACCCTATGTGCTTTCAAACATCCGATTTACACCTAGTGGCAGCGTACCTTCAGATACATACTAAATACTAAGTAATAACCCGAACGATGAACAATCTACAAGTGTGGCCCGATGCGCTTTCGTGTAATCCGATTTTTAACCTAGTGCTGCAGCGTCTAGAATACAAACCACTCAACGGATACCCAGTAAGGAGTCCTTACCTCGTCTTCAAACTGCCTTCCTCTTGCTACGGAACTCGTCGTTAAATCAAGTTGTACTTGTTGGAGAGTTGTAAACCGTCGTATGCAGTAGCAGCATCAGCAGAGGCATTGTCTGTTGTTGTTGTATATTGACTTTTTGATAACGTCGTCGTCGTCGTATTTGCGCTTTGGAGGAGAAGAGGTGCTGTGGAGGGGAGAATCAGGGTATATATATATGTATGAGTAGACGCGTGGTCGGGTGTTAGATGACAAAAGATGACACTTGATATTATCAATTATTGTCGTACGCGACCTTATAAGTATAAATGTTGTCGTGATTTCTACAGTAAGGGGTGTGAGAGTCGGCCACAATGATAACTGTTAACCAATAGTAAACATAAGCGGGTATCGATATATTGCCTAGTGTAACACATATCGCGTGCGCACCAAAATGTTACATTGATAGTATTGTTCTAACTCAATAACAAAAGCACCCATGCGACGTTGTTCGCTGTCACACGCATCTTTATAAGTATAAATGTTGTAATCTATGCAATAAGAAGCGTGAAAACCTGTGACTGTAGAATATAAATGAGTATCGATATATTACTTAGTGTAGCACACCATCACACACCATCACACACCATCACACACCATCACACCATTACATCATATCTCGGCTGTCATAATTGTTTCTGTAAATAAGAACAATAGTATCAGTGTAACATTTCGGAGTACACGCAGTAAAATATTGGGTTTTCACTGGTTAGCAAGTCTGATAAGTCACGCGATGACATCGATAACAAAAGCATCTAGCAATATGATATCAGCGTGACATATGTAGTATATATAGCGAGTGACACTAGTGATTTTATAGCAATATAAAAAACTTACATAATGATGTATAACCATTGTGTAATTGCTATTATTTTCGCTATCACTAAATATCATATGACATAGTAAAATGTCATAATTATGCTCAATGGCGCAACTGGTACGTCTACTTTTTTCTAACCGTATGGTTATGTCAGAATTGATTATACTGTTTTAAAACAAACGACGGATTGTATCTATTTTCGAAACCTATGGTGGTGGTGGAAGGAGGGAAATATTCATCCAGTAGTAAAATAATCGCGAGACAAGCAAAAATTTTTAGGGGGATTGTCCAATTTTGGGGTTCTTTGACGGAATTTATATACGACATGACATATTTATTAGCGTATGTAGGCGACCATTGTGAGTGCTCAACAAACAGGTAACGTTTCGCTAGCAGGTCAAACCTCATGGGAAGAATAAATGTAGTGCGTTATAAATTTAATTATAATCACTCCTCAAAAAGTTACATCTACTCTGAAGACGGAACAAGTGAGTATTATATAACACCCTAAAGTTAAGCATAGTTCACACTACTCACATTTTTAATTCGATTATGATATCTCAATCTTGTCACGACATTAGATCAAAATCACCAAGCTTTGGCTCCTCCGTGAAAGAAAATGACGTTCCTTTTGAACCTTGTTCAACTGCTATGACCAGGAAAACGAGACATCGATTACGTATTCACATGAACTATCATGGTTTAGTAAATAATAAAGGTGAAGAGAGAATTCGATTAGTAAATTAAGAGTTGCAAGTGGATTAATTGTAGGTCAAGCATTTGAAAACAAAGCAGCTATCGACTTTTCTACAAAACGGTGTGTTATACGTATGTGCGTCCTCCCGATACTCACTTAATTTGATAATCAATACCTGCTCATTAATCTCTTCTCGATCTTCCCAAATACAAAGCCATGACTAGTGTGTTAAAAGCTGTGGTAGACAAGGCGTATTCCCTCAAACTTGGTGCCTAAACTTTTTTTAGTTCTGGCCAGTCTTTATGATAATCCTTTCATAATTATTCGTTTGACGTCTCTCTCTCGTTTGAAGTATCAACTACGTGTTAGATATGTACATATTAGTAATAGAGTTCTGTTTATTATTACACAATGTATTGCTTGTATATTTATGTATACATTACATAAATTACATCATTTCATACAATTTATTACCCATAATAGATTTATCCGTCATCTCATCAAATATGTTCAAACGAGTATAAATTCCATACAACTTTTAAATGTCCTACACTTTCAACTCGCTTTTAAAAACAAATTACAAAAAAATACGTACTTGCTATTAGAAATCACAATCTTATTAGAGAATGGATATAGGTATACGACTTTGTGGGGGAAAGGAGAAACTATGGCAGACGAAGGCGTAGAAAATCCGATCAAACGTTACAGAATTCTCATTTCGCTTATAATACTTGACTAAAGTTAATGTCATTATCCTGCATCATAAAAAGAGAAGAAAGGGTCTCTTTAACATACACCACGGGTGTGTTGTGGTTTTTGCGTACACCCAGGGTACGACAATTATACTATAGTAGCAATTGGCTATTGAAGACATACTCCCATGGATGAGACATCTCGAGGAGTAAGTCTTATTTATGCATCGCATTTTTATATAGATACCAATGAGTCTATATATTTTTGAAAACAACTGCGTAAATTGATAATTACGAACTGCTTTCAGTAAAATATTAACAAAAACAAATAATTTTGTGTGTATAATCATACAATGTATTTGAAGATCGTGGTGGTCAATTCACGATAACTTTTGCATGTTATATTTAACATGGGTCAGATCTAGACAATAACATGCTCAGCTCAAATGAATAGAACATCATAAAGGCTTCAAAATGCAAGGAAGTACATTTTAAACTTACGTTTGCTGACAGATCTCCGCTGTTCAAATAATAAAGTCTAAGAAAATGCACTCGAATAATATAGTAAAGTGTATTACCGCTACCTCTGAATTGATGTAAACGACATTAATATGTAGGATGGCCCTAAAATGATATTTAATGATTAAGGTCAAACATCATCTCTTTATTTAACGATTGAATGGAGGCCTAATTACAGTTATCGATTAGTAAAATATAAGAGATGCCTCACCCTGATGTCCCAGTTGTGTAGTGAACCCTTGGTTTCACAAAAACCGTACACCCTACAATACCCCTGAAGTGTACAGACCATATTACACCCCCCGGATGTACGGTAATTTGCCGTACACCGGGATGTACGTTAAGGACGCCCAAAAAAAGGAATCCTGTGTCACTGTGTTATTCTGTTCGATCGAGCTGAAACTTTACAGATCCTGTTCTAGTAAATTACTATGTACGTCTCAGTCGTAAAAACTGCATGTATTTGAATTATCGATGTATTTTCAATCTGCTATCCTCTTAATAAAAAACTATCTCTGTACATTATGTCTGGCATTTGCATTTTGAGATTAAATTCTCTAGAGTAGTAAACCTGTTCTCCTGCATAGCGTTCCCTTCTACTAATAGCAATCTTACCCGTATATAATGCGATCAGCCCAGGTATGCTCGGGCATTTCTTTTCAAGTTGTGTACGATATTTGTACGACTTTATCGCCAAGCTACGATACCCGCTAAAGCTAGTTTAACATTGATACAGAAACGTAATAAAGAAGTGGTCAAATGAGTTTCAAGTTGTGTACACTCACTAAATTCTTTTTAAGAGATCTCCCACTCACTACTTGTTCACCGACTTCAATATACCTTCTTCTTTTCATTTACAAAAGCAAATACTTGATACATGGACGATGATAAAGTTTATCTAGCCAAACTAGCAAGTGCGTCACAATGCTATGGTCTCCCGTATGGTTACTTTGGATTAATCTGCTGGGGTCTGTCAATCGTGACCATATCGCTAACATTCGCAAATATTAGCCTCCTGACATTGTGGAAATGTTGCCAGCCTAGTTACAAGTCATTGCAACTGTATCTAGCTCTCCCCATAACCGCCTTGATGGTAGGACCAACGGTCTATACATGCTTGCGTTGTTCTGCAGAGTGGCCAGTGGTATTTCTTGCAATCGGACAGCTTGCTCCTTGGAGTTTCAAAATGTTAAATGACGGCTTTCAGAGCTATAAGAAATCACCAACGAAGAAGACGAGAGACAAGTTTTATTTAATCATAGGGTCATTTACAACTCCTGTATTGACAATTTTGGGATGGGTGGGTTTCAGCACGTTGAGTTTCTACGTACGTGAGCATTGGATGTGGGTGATATTTGTAGGAGGGTTGGTTGTGCCACCGTTAGTAATTGGGGTGATTTGGATGTCATGCGGAGGGGAATTAGAATCGGCTACTTTCTGTAGAATGGTGCTGACGATCATGCTATTCATTGTGGCGAGCTTTCATATAGTTGGCTCGGATATATTGCTCGCTAGACTTACGAACAATTGGAGTGGGCTTGCATCTACAGGAGCTGGATTAACATCATCCATTATTTTTTTCGTAGCAAAGCGTATAGTGTTTCTTGTTGCTACATAATTTGTAATCAGCGTGTTAATGTATTATGTTGTACAAAAGTAGATTCAGACTACAAAAGCATGAGTTATATTGTTTTCTTATTTACTGTAAAATGGGAAAATATTATTTCAACTGCGGTAGTACATCAGTCATTTGATGATGAAATATGCTTAATAATCGAGGCACTCGATTAGTAGAGATTAGACAGAATATTTCCCAAATGACAAATGAGTAATTTAGACAGCGCAAAATAATGATATTATTATTATTAGTAATACTATTATAATTTCTCGACATGTACTGTATATAAACAGCGGTCGAATCCTAGAGATTTGGGGCGTTTTTTTTTCCAGATATTTGAATAAACAAGAAATAGAAAAGAGCGTTATCTGCATTAATTTTATTGCGGCAGATTAAAACGGAAACGAAATCGGATTAAAACGAAATTTGGGGTCTTTTTGGATCCTCTTTTAATGCCTCTGAAACCCACATATACTCTTCTATTAACAAAAGTTACCCTAAATCCCATCCCAAATCCCCAAAAAAGCGTCCCCCAAAAAATTTTAAATTTTCATATTGAAATAGAGAAATTTTCATTTTAATCCAATTTCGTTTTAATCTGTCACAATTATTTAGTAGTTATCTCCGGCCAAATACTATAACTGTATTTTTTCCTGTTCTATTGGCCGAGTGTAGTTTTAGAAACCTGGAGTTTTATTGCTGATACTTCTCTCTCATACTTTTTATTTATATTTTACGGCCAGCGAACAATCGCACAGTTTATATATATCGTATGTTTGCATCCGATTCTTCGACAATGTATCGTACGATATGATACTTAATTTCAACGATGTAATAAATCATACGATCGATGCTTATTAAAATTGTCGATCATTCAGTAACGTAATGGATCGTACTTCATAATCCTGCAGATATATGAAGGGCATTAGTCAAAAGAATATCCAAAAACTCTATAAGATAGTTCAAAATTGTTAATTTTTCAACAATGATATCTGTTATACGAGAATAACAGGTGTTCTGGTCGGTAAAGTACCCCGCCGGGAAGTGCGATACAGTAATACAGAAGTCACGCTCCTGTAACAAAACTTAGGGCTGTGGTAGTTTATCAGTGCGGCGTTCAGGTGCCAGTTTATTCAACATTTGTACCAAGCTACATAAAGCTAGTTTTTTAACATGTAATACAGAGGTGCCTGTATCGATTTTAGGTGTTTGTGGCATCATCGGAGCTACGCAGAAATGTGAGGAATAGTACCAGTTATAAGAGAATTTCACCTCAAAGTTAAAAGTGCTCAACTTTAAACAAACATGGCTCTTTAGCAAACCATTTGTTTACAATATGTAACTGTAAAATGATAGATATTGTCAGACTAGCTTACCCCTGGGAGAGCAGCGGTGTACTAGCCGTTTTGGGATTAGTCTAGTCCTTTGGAAACTTTTGCTCTTCCTACTTTAAACTAATACTAATGACAATTAACTAGGTTTTATACTCACCATCTGTAGGGAAGACTTATATTAGTCATGTGACTATTATTATAATTCTGTTATTTTATTATTATTAGATCACAAATTTCACACTTATTTTCTATACTCAGCCGAGATCGTGTTTTAGATAAATGCTTCGACATTTCTTTATTTTCGACTTGCAGCGATATTTAAATCAATAAATACAAACAATTTCTATCGTACTAATAATGCGAATGACGTTATTAAGTTGATTATGTTATACCCAAATATTTATTATTATAAAGCATGATTAATAACACGTGCATTTAAAATTTAAGGAAAGGTGTGTCTTGAATGTAACACAAGTATTTGGTGACTGCAAAGGGGGAATTTTTCATATTGTGCAATAGTAACGGGGATTCAAAATCGGGTGACTGTGACTATAATATGATCGTGACTGTAAAGGAGGTAAATCACTATGGAAATGACTGGGACCGGAACAGCCTGGGGAGGCGTGACTATATAGGAAGTGACTGTAAGGGAGGTTGACTGTATATCGGTCTTGTAGATTATTGTGTAACCTCGAGCAATTTCTTTGATGGGATCTAAAACTACTAGTAATAATTAAACAATAATCCTGATGCAAAAGTACTAAATAGAATTGATTGGCAAGTATCAATCCTATTCGCTGATGACGGGGAAAGCGTTTTACACTTCGCCAACGATACTAAGTACACAGGCGAACTCGATAAGTCGGTCATGCATGATGGACCGACTTATCGAGAGAACCGACTTATCGAGAGATTTTAAATATTAAAACTGAGAAAAGGGCTTGGGAAGTTTTGGCCTTCTTAGGCCAAAATTGAATCATCGAGAGACCGACTTATCGAGTTTGCCTGTGTATCTCTTATCAGGGAATGATCGAAATAATAAAGTTTTATATTTAAATCGGATTTTATTAGAATAAAAAAGAACTACCCTAATAGCAACGCCTTGCTGAATGAGACTCGTAATTTCAAGATTTTTTGATATATTGGGACGAACTTTGTCCAAATCGGGTGAACAAGTGTTCCTTATTTCTGCGCCAATCTTCACTGCGCAATTTCTTGACAACTGATGATTTCCCTAACTTCAAATATCTCGTGACTTGTGATCGATAACCCCTGAAAAATTTTTCAAATGACTTAACTACGTAATTTTCTACAAAACCACTTTGTATTTTTTACTCAAACTTTTTTCAAAATGTTTTGTGACTTAACTAAGAAGCTTCAAGAACAATTTCAACTTCCAAAATTTCCAAAGGAACCCATAGAGGAGAATAGGTAACATATGTTTTTATCATAGAACTGTGATCCTTTACTTTAAGTTCCACCCACTTAGTGTTAGCTCATATGAATTGCAGTTTACCTTTTAAGATTGGTTTCAATATATCGATAAAAAACTACAACAAATTTCTTGAAAGCCATAAACCATCTGGGTACAAGTTTGAGTATAATAATGGCAACGTTTTTATTATTGATATGTGCACAGAAGTACATGAAGCCGTTGTTGCACTATTACAAGAGTATTTCAGAATTCCAAATGGTGGCATTATTATTAATCCACCAATAGTCATTAGGGGTCAATCACGTAAGAAAATTCAAGCTTGCTTGATCTTTGACTTTTCATGGATTTTCTAATATCTTATGTCCTATTTATAGTTCATCCTTCACCAAATGCAGATGGACTTGGTATTGCACCAGATATTGCAATACGTCCGGATGAGGCATATGTTCCAAGACCTCCCAATACTGGACCCCTCAATCTTGGACCTCCCCCAAGTGACACAATGGTACATTGAATTTGGTGTATATTATCATTATCTGTTTTGTATACAATTTTCTTATACATATACTTTTGTAGGGGAATTCTCATGCTAGAATAATATGTGAGATTGCAGTTAGTCAAACTTACTGTGGATTGAAAAATAAGTGTGCACTTTGGATGAGTCAGAAGTATGTGAGATGTGTATTAGGAATAAAGCTTTATGATTTGAGAACTACACGAAATACACATGGACAATTTAATCGATCAATGAAGGTATGTATCTATTGACTATTTTAATATAGCTTCATAGTTGATATTCTAAAAAACTTTTTAAATATTAGGCTAAATTATGGAGACAGGGATTACCAACCAGAAAAGTAATGTTAAACTGTTTAGAAATTCTGTTTATTTTATTTTTCGATATTTACATGTATATGTCTAAAAAATAGTGGCATTTTGGGACTGTGCAAAAAGGTAGTAGTCAACCTACTGGGTGTAATGCTCCGGGTAATCCAGCATATCAGATCAACATTCCAATAAGTGATGTATTCTATGACCCACCTATTCCAGCTATTGGATACGTTCCACTGGTTTCTCATCCTGCAATTCTTGGTGGTAATTTTATCATTGATCTTTACGAAATTCAGCAAATAGTTTTGAAAGGTCAGCCAAGATAATGAATATGTAGTGTTGTTTTGTTTTACGTCCCATTATATAGTTCTTATATTCTATTTTTCTAAGTTTAAAATATTGTCCCATCCCTTGCAAAGATATAGAGGGTCTTCTTTTGCTCTAGTTGTAAATAGCTGATTTTGCTATTTATTACGGAATTACTTGATTGGTCAAAAATTCACTCCCATGTATTTTGGATCAAGTGACGAGTTGGTGAAACCCATATTAATGTATTCTGCGGCGCTTTTGTATAACTTAGAATTTGAACACCAACTTGATCACTTGATTGTAAATAGTGATAATTCGTGAGTAGATGTCTGGGAGGAAAATTGAGTACTAGAGTGATGAATTCGAATAGTGATATAAAATTCTTTATATAAACGACCTTTCTCCCAGGCGGAAAGAAGTAAGTTTGGCTGCTGAGGATAAAACCAAAGCAGAATGGCTTCCCTGGGGTGGTTTTATCTCTTGTAATAATAAAATATTAATATCCGTTATCAATTATTGGAAATGTTGTATTATTTTGTTCTCTACCAATACTTTGATGTAAGAATTCCCTAGCGACTAATAAGGAATGTTACAGAAATAATTATTTTGTTATAAAATCATGGCGACTAATACTAATAAGCAGGGCATGAGAAGTATTCAGCTCGCAAAGAAAACTGCTGACACCTTCTCTCACATGATTAAATTCATTATAAAGTGACTAGTGCAATATACAAAAATCCTGCAACTGAACTTTGGTAATGGAATAATGAGGTTTACTATTAAAATTTATAATAATAATCAAATTTAAATATTGAAAAAAGGAGGAGGAACACTTGCTTTGGTATAACAAAAATTCGTTATAGTGCATTTCATTATACCAGGGTTTGACTGTAGATTAGAGATGTTAAAGAAGAATTTGATTCCAGAGCCTTTGCCAATGCTGTTGTTCCTGTATCTCCTATCTGATTCTGGTAGAGATCTAGAGATGTTAAAGAAGAATTTGATTCCAGAGCCTTTGCCAATGCTGTTGCTCCTGTATCTCCTATCTGATTATATCCTAGATCTAGAGATGTTAAAGAAGAATTTGATTCCAGAGCCTTTGCCAATGCTGTTGCTCCTGTATCTCCTATGTTATTCTGTTTAAAATTTATAGATGTTATAGTTATAGAAGAATTTGAATCCAAAGCCTTTTTCAAAATAGATTTTGCTTGTATACATGTAATCTCATCATAAACTAAATTTAAAGAGAATAATGAGAAATTTGATTCTAGAGTTTTTGCTAAAACTGTTGCTCCTGTGTTTCCAATTTGACAATCACTCAAATTTTAGTGTGTAAGTTAATGATGGAGTGATCAACAATTTGAGTAATGTATTTACTGTTTCACTTGATGGCCGTCTATTAGGGTCTTCATCCCAGCATTTGGAATATAAATCAATATATGGGGCAGACTGCAACAAAACCAGACAAAGTGAACATTCTATTATGTGACATAAATGAGAGGCTAATTGTGATGTGGCTGTAAAATTGACCAGTGTGACTGATGACGTTTTGAAAAGTAATAATGCTGCTTGTTTATAATAA